TCAGGGCCCACAAGGGTTCCTGTAAATCGGTTAGCCGGTAAAGGTTTCTTTAAGTTAGCCCTTAAGGGTTCCTTTAATACTTTAATGGAGCCCTGAAGGGTTCCTTTAATGGAAATGCTGTAGGCTCATGGGATGGAGTTTCAAGACACGGTTTCGGGCTTAGAGACTTTCCGGATGCTCCAGGAACACAGAAGCTGATGGTTTGTAGGATGTAGCGTTTCGACCGTGGCCCAAAAGACCTACGTGTTTAAGGAAGTATATAGTATAGAAATCATACTAAGGAACCCTAAGAAAGGTAGGACAGGAAGGACTTTTCGGCTACAGGTAGAGTCTCAGTACTCTCATCTAGGCGCGTCTCTCCAGGCAAGGGTTTTGGGTTTCAGCACTCGCAACTTGGCACACACAAGTGAGGAGGGCTTACGGCTTAGAGGTTATAGGGATTAGGGACTGGGGGCTTTCCGACCAAATGGCGTGGAAGACTTGGCCAGGTTAGCATGCACTCTTACTGCAAAGCCCCCCAAATCATGCATATCAACAATTGAATTGCCAACAGCACGCAAATTGTTCAAAGCTCCTGCTCACGTGTCTAGCTTTCGACTAACGTTTCCGCTGCAGCATCCTCCGCACGATGTATAGCTAGTCTAGTTAGTAATGGCCAAATACCCCTGAATGTCAGCAGGCGCCGTCCGTCAGGCTGCAACTCAAAGGAATAATTTATTTTAGTATTCCTATACGAAGTTCATCCCCAGCACCCTGTGAGATTCAAAACTAGCTCAACTGCAATACTTCGACTATGGCGGCGGATGTTAAGTTTACCGGAATCATCGCCACCAACCTGCGCAAGCCGTTGCCTGCTGGGCTTCAACTAGTAGAAGCCATTTTTGCAGCTGGAGCCACTGTGCCAGGAATGAGTGGTTAGAGCCTTAAAGGGAACTGTTCACGCCCGCTTTTTGCACTGTCGTACTTGGGCGCTGCAGCCGCAGGGGCCGGGGCCGGGGCTGGAACCAAGGGCGTTAGCGGACTGCCTGCCCGAGGTTCAGGGTAGAAGGGCTTGTAGGGTTTATTTAGGAAAGAGTCCAAGAGGTGGGTTTTGTAGGCTCGTGGCGTATGGATTCAGTATTTATGGCCGGGTGACCTCCGGCACAGGGCCTGGACCAAACAAGGTGACCAAAAAAAGCAAACGGAGGGCATGTGTCGTAGTAGCTCTTCAGCAAGGCAGGATAGGGTGAGTGAGGTGAATAGTCGACTTACATTAAGCTCGGGGTCATTTTGCTGCTTTTCCTGGCATGAAAACTTGAAGTGCCCAGATCCGAAGCCTGTCAACGAAGCCTGTCAAAATGATGGTGACTCTGATGTCGGCTAGCTACGATGGTGCCGGTGCCTGAGCTGGCACTCTTGTGGATAGTGTAGCATCAAAGACCAGAACAAGGTGAACTGGGATGACACATGAAGCTGTGTAACTAGCGTGGCAATGACAGCATTTGCAGTGAGATGGACCCGAGAAACGGGTCACCAAGTCTGAAATCGACAGCCAAACATCAGAGGCTTACACACTCAAGTTGAACCTGGAAGATGATGGGCTCAATTCCGAATACCACGTCTACCGTCATCCGACACTCCAGGTTCATGGCAACTCGCACGGCCGACCTGGTCGGCCTCCGAACTCTCGAATTCGCTGGCTCCTGAAACAGTTGCGGCACCCAGCTGAGCAAGAAGGACTTGGGTTGAGACTGCGAAGCAACGCAAGGAGCGATGAAAGACCTGCTTGGAAGGCTTGTGCCCAGAGGGTTTACGGTACGGGGGATTTTTCAAAGCAGAAGCCCTGACGAGCACTATGCATTTCGAAGCAGCATCTGAATTCCCCCGACTGCTGGGTGCAAGGTGCTCTGGAGAGGGTTTCTGTTCTGATGCTGAGGTCGGCCGTGAATCAGCAGATTACGGTTGAGAAGATGTGTTTCTTGCTCCCGGGTAGAGGCAAAAAAGGGCTCTGACCTCGCGGTGCGCTCTGGCTTCTGGCAGCTTCTGGTCTGCTCGTTGCAGGCCGAGACGCACATCAATGAGGAGCTTGCTCTGCAGGTTCAGGAACTTATCGCCCTGGTAAGAACGATTTTGCTGCAGCTTTATGATAAAGGAAATGCTGATGCTGACTCAGGTTGCCGGAAAGAGTAGCTACAGCTACGGCTGCAGGTGGAGTATAGTGTCGGCAGCCGGGTGGGAATGCACAGTGGCACCACAAACAGTCGAACAACAGGACAAGCACGATGACATTCTGTTTTCGCTAGCCTAGACCCTGGACCCTCTGTCAGCATCACGGTGGGCGCTCGAACTGCCGGTGGGGCTCTTGTTGCCTCATTGCTGTGACCTGTGACTGTTGGTGTTCAAGCTGGTTCGAGTCCTTCACTATCCTTCACGGTTCTGTGCCGTTGTCGCCGCCCCCGCCCCAACCCATAAACATTCTCACATCTGGGCTACCGTAAATCGTACGTAACAGTAGCTTTGCCGGAATCCCTTAAAACCCAGGACACGTTTGGCCTGGAGCGACTTCTCGAAGTAAGCGCGGAGATAGAACTCAGCTCCATACACCGACCTTGCTGTCAGGATTGTGCTTTTCCGTGGCTCATGCTTGCGATACCTTGCGATGACGAACACAATATTCAAGTGATGAGGCAGAAATTGACACCGTCGATTCTACCTTGCACTACTTTGGCCCATCACAGTGTTAGTTGCACAAGGAATGTTACGAAAACTCCTGCTGCGGCGCTCATGAACCGAATCTGGCAAACTAGTAATTTTACTGGCCCGGCTGTAAATAACTCGTGGTGTTGACAACAGCCATCTTCGCTCACGAAATATGCCGCTCTTGTCAGGCTCAAAGTCTACGCATTTGGAGGGCATCGGGCCCGTGCGAATCTTTTATTAGGCCATGCGCGGTCACAGAAGCGTCTGTCAAATGGCTTTGCCTGGCAGTGGTGGCAGCGGTGCCGGCTCGTGCCACAAGGCTCCAAGTAAGAATGTGAAAAGGTACGATAGTGTCAAGGCATAGGGCATAGGGCTTCTAGTTGACCTGCCTTTAATGCCGCTGCTGCTGCCACCGCTGCTTGCTAGTTGTTCTGTGCGAGCGAGAGCCAAGTGCCGGGCCATCCAGAGAAAACGAACTGCGGCTCGTAAACCTTGATGTGGCCTTGACGGCTGAGGGACCGGGCTTAGAACTTGGGATGAAGGGCTCTACGTTCAGACGGTGGGCTCAACCGAAGGCACAGCGCTGCATTTAATTCAGGCTGCTATGTTCGACCGTGTGATCTTGTGGTTCACATCGGCCACAAGCAAAAAGCACATGGTGAAAACAGTGGGGCATCAGGCGCCAGAGAATAAGATCAAGATAAACAGCACTGACGACCAACTAGAAAGCAACCTAATAAGATCAAAAGAAACTGCTTCGTAGCATCCTACGACAAGAACATACAACCACATGATGACAGTTTGCTGGTGTTATTCAACCTGCATCTGCTTTTTCCTGAACACCGTGCACTCTGCATATTGGCGTGTCCTTGACTGTACGCAAGTTTTGTCATACACTTCTCTGATGCACTTGTTACATGTATTTTGGTGCATCATGGGCTGCCGGCGCATCTTGACACGGACCGTCCAGACTCAGATAAACCAACCTGAACAGAAACCCATCTCCAATCAACCCGCAGTCACCATAATCTCGTTGACTGATGCCGAACTTGTACCGGGATTGTTGACTTTGCCGCACGCTCAACTAATCAGTTGGTGATGATGGGTCGTTGTCAACTTCTGCTTGTTCTTCGGCTGTCCTAAATTCGGCTTTGGTTGTCGTCAGGTTGCTTGGGGGCTGCGGGGTTGCTCCAGCATATAGTAGTAGAAGCCCAAAAGTTGGAGACCCAACAGCCTCATTCCTTACGAGTGATGTATGGGGAAACCCAGCACTAATTGTCCTTAACCCGGTTTCCAACTTTTTGGCATTTACTAGGGCTTGCAGAGCTTGTGTTGTTCCACAGGGGCGGACATGGCCTATCTGTCAGTTCAGACTTCCAAAGATCTAGATCTCACAGATGACGCGGATCAGGCCTCGATTGGCGGTCCGAATTCTGAGCACCTCGGGGCAGCAGGTAGCATCTGGGCTGTTCTTGAAAACCACAGGGTCAGTCGCTCATGCTCTGCACACTCAGCTGTTCCGGCCAAGTACATGATATTATCGTTCGGTTCTGCTGTGGTGCACACAGAGAACAAGGGGCAGCGGCTGAAATGTCAGACAGTTCGGAGTTCTGGCCAAGCCAGGTGACACGAAAGCATACTACGATACGTTCCAGGGGCACCCCTATAGGATCTGACTGAATCTATAATATTCGGTTTTGCCTGGTGGATTGTCAGCAGTTGCGCCTTTTGGGCACTAGTTCAGCTGTGCATTCTTGTCACAATGACATGTTTCGGGGAATCGGCTGGTCGGGGATTGAAGCGTCTCTCCGTCGTTGACCGGTAAACTTGACATCGAGAGACGACCCAAAAAGCAGACTTAGGCCGCTGAGGACCGGGCGGCGGCCTTTTGCAACACGCAAGGATTGTTGCGGAGGTCATCTTGGACAGCATAAACCTGCAAAACGGCATGAACAAATGCAGCCTCGAGCCTAAACCATAATATAACTCATGAACCCAATATGTGCAAGTTGTGTAGCAAGATACCAGCATTCCCTCCGAAGCCGGACGTGATCATGACCCGTCTCATTGTTCTGCAAATTCCGGGTCGCGTCATGCCGGAGACTACGAACATCTACGAACGGCGACCGGTGTCGACGGCGACGATTACTGAAACTCAGTGTAATTCATCCTTACAGTGATAGCAAGAGGACTGCCCCCACCCGCAGCCCAGGGAGTACGCGGATGTGGCACTTCTCAAAACGTCTTCATCTTTTGCACCATCCCCTTGCCATTTGTGAACTTCGCAGCCTGAAAGACAAAGCACCGTCTGGGGGCCGTGCAAGAGCATCTAACTTCGAAGGATCGTCGAAGGTTATCACCTTTGGGCCCAGGATTTTGTGGTGAGACCATTTAATCGGGAGAACGAGCGACTTCGAGATTAATTGTGGAGTCACCATGTTCTGAACATGTTCTCTGTCTTGCTGTCTTCTTCGGCTTATTCTTCTCTTTCTCTCTCAGGCAACTCAAGCACTGCTCAAACAAAGGGAAAGTTGACGAGCCAGGCTCAGTTCTTGCGGATCTAGGCTACGTGCTGCAAGCTCTCTCGTCCCGGCTTCGTGACTTAGGCACACCCGTGAAGAAGCTGCTTCAGGACCTCGACGACCGCAGCATCTACTCCTGGACTTAAACCGTAGTTGTCACATAGATGTGCACCCCTAGGCCCTAGTGCAGCCCCGGGTTTCGCCATGTGGCCATCTTCTTCTGGCAGACGCGGAAGCGCTTGTTGGTCTTATCAATGACAGTGCCGTCCAGAATCCGACGGTTTGGGACAGTGACGCGCGTCCCCTCGTAGCCGTTCACGGTGGTGTTGAACCATCCGACCTGTCGCCGAGGAGGTGCGCCCAAGTTAAGACTCTGTCAAGAAGGCTCGCCAGCTCACAGTTTACCAAATATGTCAGTCGAGGCGCTTCCGAAACAACACCCTGAAGCTTCACGTCCTGCAACTCGACCTCCAGGCCCTCGCAAATGGTGGCATTGGTATAGATCAATATCCTCGGTTTAGGCTTTGATGGCCCATGAACCGCCTGCCATGATCTCTGCAAATGCCAACCAGGCTACCCACCTTCCGGCAAACGGCTGCACGAAAATTGTTGTCAATGTCTCGGATCTTTGTCATGACTCAAAAAACATCATTCTTCGTGCAAATGCACTCAAGGATCGAGTATCGCTGTCGGTACGGCTCAATGTAAATGACCCTAAACCCTGTAAGGTCCCTTTCTCTCACCCGCCAAAACTAGTCCCGGTACCATTAACCGCAAGCCCTGCACCCTGTAATCCCCATTTTATTTTGCCACTGGACTTGGGGACTAGCCAGATCCGTTCGACCTCCATCTGCGCCTCAAACCCTCTTCTCCGAGCCTGGAAAACCCCAAGCCGGGCGTCCCAGAGATGAGATTCTGAATCAGATTTTGCAGTGCCAGACCGACAGCAAGCCCGCCGACACCACCGACAGCCAGCACAGTGCGCAGCTGAATGTTAATCAGCCGCAGCGGTACCTCCGCGTAGGTTCAGCAGGTTTTAGAATTCTACCGGAGGCGGTTTGGGCTTGAGCTTTGGGCAAGCTCGGTTTCTCTGCGCGCCTGACTCCTAATGCTGTCGGACGTGGACTCTTATTCGACTGGCCATTTGTGTAATTGATATGTCTGGCAGAGAAGAAAGGGCAGCAAACATCGAGTACTGTGACTTGCATGTGGCACTTGTGGTGTGTCTTCAGTCTTCCTGACTTGCATCCGAGAAGCCGAGATCAGGCTGATGTAGATCGCGCAGGAAAGGCATTTGTCTGCCTGACGGAAGTGCCCACATCCCCGCATTTCTGAGCAGGGAGGCCCTTTTGGGACCACTCTCTGAACCAAGCAACAGCAATGCCCGAGCCTTTGCAAAGTGGCATGAACCGCAGAAAAACCCATTGGCATCAAATCTCGCAGCAGACCTAGCCTAAAGTTAAAGCATTTACATACAGCCATGAAAAAACACGGATCCGTTTTGGGAGGCATACATACATCCCCCCCCCCCAAGAGCACGGAACCGTTGTGTTAGCAGTCAGAGGTGCCAGAAGCAGCCGCATATTCGAGGTCCGTAATCGTGGGCGGACGCGCATGGCAAGGAGCCAGACAAGCGGCTTCCACGGGAAGATCGCAGCCCCCAGCCTAGGTCTCGGTGTTGAGCTTTGATGCTTCGATTTGGATGCATGGGTTTGCAGTCTGACATTTTGAAGCATTTGGGTCCGTAATTAGGCAGTAAGGCTGCAGAGAAGTTGGGGACTCCCACCCAGTGAGGGATGGCAGCCAGCTGTTCAGCTAAGAAGCTTGCTGTGAAGAACGGCCGCGTCAAGGGTAGGACTCTCAAAGCTCGGGGAGGCAGGCTCTTCGGCAATCTCTCTTAGTCTGCCACATAAAATAAGAAAAATCCGAATGGATTCAACAGTCCACACTCGCACATCGGTGCTAGGCCGAGGAGGACGATCAACCCATGAACTAACTTTACGAGAGAGACACCTGCTGAACACGGACACTGCAACGTCCACCCAGCCCAAATCAAATCCGAGCCCCAGCAATCACGAAGGTGCCCCTTGCCAATGAGGCACACTGCTTCCTTGGTATTGACGGGAATATCTGCCACCGGCAGCTTCGGATCTTTCCTTACTTGCGTCAGCGGGCCGCAAAGCCGATTCGAGCATAACCATATATATATATAATATTCAGGAGCCCTATAATACGGAAACAACTTTCGTAGCTACTATGATATAAAGTATATAAGGTTGTCGAATCTGGCTTTATGCTCGCATCGACCACCTGCACGGAGACGTCCAAACCCTCCAGAACCTCTCGCGCAACAAGATACTGGATCTAACAAGATTCAACGCCACCCAAGCCCGTTCGAACCCAAATCAGGCTTCTGGTTCAGGAGTTGGGCCCTGATCTATGCCTGAAGATTGCATGGATAGCCTGGACTTTGGGCTATAGAGCCTGTAAGGGTTATGAACCAGGGCTTTATACGGTGTAGGAATCTTCGATCATATGCCGCGAAGATTACTCTTCAATTTCGGCTTGAGTGAGAACTTAGATGGGCATAGAATCTGGGAATCATGTAATTACCGGCGTTGGGGTGCTGGGGTTCCGACTTACGCACTCATTCAGGATTAACTTGGCGATTATCTTGGGATCTGTGCGTTTGGGTGACCTTAATTTTGACCAAGCAAGGCTGTAGCCACCAAGATGCAGGTTGAGCAGCATGCGCGCAAACAGTGCAAACAAGCTGGCAACCATTAACTTTCCTCGGCAAACAAAGTGGCAAATAGTTGTGGTGCCCTCGTCAACATACATGCATATAGGAAGTTGGGCAATGTGTGTGAAACGATGACAGTTCGATCGCTTCTACAATGCTGAACGCAGGCTCGATTTGCAACTCCGTATTTTCCGATCTTGCCGTCGGAGCTGCGAGTCAGAGCATAGCATTTCTCGTAGATGGTGATGCGCACTGAGCTTCCGAATGGCATGTACCTGATGCTCGCACGGAAAGGCTACGCCACACATGCATCCAGGAAGGTATGCTGGGGTTTCTCACAGCATGGAGCCAGAATCACTTCATGGGAAACCCAAAGCTGCTGACTGCACCATTAGGTGCATGGCAACGGCGCCTTTATTGCTGCCAGCGTACATGCGAGCAGCAGAAGAAAACGGCATGATGAAGTTGCACAACTCCTGAAGTACCAGGCCCCGAGTGCGGTAAAGTAAGGGAATCAAGCCCACAAAGACCTCCTAAAAGCTTGCTCCAGGATCAATCGACGCTGCATGCTGCGTTGAGATTAACCACTTGCACTCCGAACGTTCAGAACTGGGGCGTTGGCCTTGACTACTGGTGGTTGGATCTGTATGAATTTTGTCAAATATTGCTGGTACATTATCAAACCAAACCCCTAATAGAAACACTGCTTCATATGGATAAGTGATGACCAACACATAAAATCAAAACTGTGGAATGTGTTTTTGTTGACCCACACACATCGGACCAGGGTTTCGGCGCTCACACTCGGACACTCCAGGCGAGGCAGGTGGTTCGAGGTGTGCTTGAGGGGTTTCGGTTTAAGGGAGGGGCCCTGAAATATCCTGAAATCATGCACTTCCGAAGCAAAACGACTCTCTCCCTTGAAAAATCGGTCCATAAGCCAGGGCATGGCTCGGAAAATGAGCCGGCAGGCCCAGGTGATGTAGATCTCGGGAGTTTACAAGGCAGGCGCCGCTTTTTCGGGGCTGGAGCCTCTTACGGAGTGTGGGCCTGACCTTCAGTGATCCGGGAGAGTCTTCGAGTTCGCGGATTCGATGCAACAGCTCAGGCCTTTGGGTTCAGGTCTTCCAGTCTACCGTCTCACGCTTCATTACTATGTTGAAGCTCTACGGCACGTAGGCTCAGCAAGCTCCAAAGAGGGTAAGAGACATTCATATTTCATGCAGTAGGGCAGGGCTGGGTCAGAGACTGTGGGTCTCAACCCACCCGGAAAATGATGAAGACTCCCTCCGATGCCTGCTGCCAGCTTAGACTGCTTTGGACTCTTGTGTGGTTCGTCCCTGCACCGGAAGCTGCAGAGAATGGGTTTACTTGGTTCGAGTGGATCAAGGCTTTTCCGGACGACCCCCCTGTGTGACTCCGTATGATGGATGGGTGACCTTTCGGGAGGGCTTGTCCCATTCAACCGGCCTGTTTCCGCTCACCTGTGCCATCGGATTGCTTCAACAGTATCACATGTAGCTTTCCGGCACTTTCTGGACTGAGCACCGGGCCACCGAAAGGGAGTTGTCCAACCAATTCGTGATGGTCTCGGATGCAAAGGGCCTTCGCCACAAGGCAACCGACTATGTGATACTCTTGCTGCTAGGCCCGAATATCACGCTACTCACACTCGAAGAAGCCTGCAAGACGTGTACGTAGGTCTTAGTTGGAGACCTCGCAATCTTAGCCAGTTTAGCCTCTGACACCCGGCTTTGATCTGGGGCGTAAGACAGGGTTCCGGGTGCGTCAGGATGATTGGGTTTGCAAGGCATCTTCAAGCAAAGATGTCCACTCTGTTGAGGTTGTTGACGAGTGGTAACCAAAGACTGTTGCATCTCGGTTAGTGCTCAGCATACAGACCACATGCAGCTAACACCTTCGAAAAGATTGGTTGCCTGGAGAGGCCTGCATATACCACACAGCTCGGGCGACGCTTCTCCGTGCCTACACCCCCAAACCGACACACAAAATCTTAACCCCACTATCATCCCTAACATTAGGATCCTATTTTCGGGGCTTGAGGGGGCCTGTAATGGGGATTCAAGAAAAGCAATTATTAGATCATTATTCTAGGTGAACCTAACCGACAAACAGCATCAGCCTGTGCAGCCTCACAGGCCGAACACGACAAACCAGACACTCAAACCTGACGAAGGCCCGGCTGATGTTCGTACAACAGCAAGAGATACTCTCGACCCTTAGCCCAGCATCCAAGACCTGAGGCTAACCCAGTATCCCGAGTCAAGACCCCTTAATTGACAGCCATTCCGGCACCTGTACCATGCCGGACATCCACGCAGGAATGTCTGCCTGACCTGGACGACTCCAACCCTGAACCCATAAGGGATCCGAGCCTTGGATCTCTTCACAACATACGATCCTTTTGTGACACTTGTGGGGTCCATCCTGTTGGGCCCGTTAAGGGATCCCAGGAGTGCCTGTTTTCACCAGGCTTTATAGGGTTCAACATCGAGTTGATCTTTTGAGCAGGCAGCCGGGAAATAAGCAGGGACTGACCGATCGGGGGTTTTTGGCAGTGTTTCGGGGTGTAGGGCTTCTAGCTGAGGTCTCCGGACCTATGATCATATTTTTGCACCGGGGCGTCTTCCTTCGTCTTCTGGGATTGCCTTGTGCGCTTGCGATTTTGGAAGTCGAGACTAACAATGCCAGGCAATGGCATAACATGTTGCTTCTGCGCGCTGAGACTTTGTGGCGTCGGGAAATACCAGGAACTGAACCCAAGCCCCGGGATCCCGAATCCCAGACCCTTAGACCCTGAACCAAAACTAAGCACCAGACCTTTTAGCATATTATATCCGAAGTTCTTGAGCAATTATTTCTGGGGCCCCCTTGATTTGTATACTGAGCCATGGCACAAGAACATCCAGCGCTGCTTTGCGAGGTACGATCAGCCTCGAGGGTGCCAGCCGCAGGATGATCATCGAGATGCCTCGGCCCGACAAGGCTTATTGTGGTCATTGCTATTTTTTACTATTGTTCTTATTATTAGTACTATTGGTTCTTATTGCTATTCGTATCTTATTGCTATCATGAAGGCTTAACAGGGTGGAAAGTCTGGCGTACAGCGTCTTCGGGCTTTGAGTTCAGGGCTACTCAAGGGCCATCTCAAGGGCCTTCTGCTTCGCGCTGACGTCATCTGCAAGGGGTCTAGGGTTTTACCCTGAGTCCTAAACCCTGCCCTAAACCCTAAACCCTGAGCCCTAAGCCCTAAACCCCTGAACCCTCCGTATCTGAGCTCAGACTCCCAGGCAGCCGTAGACCATGGAAGATATCAGAGTATAGCTGCCGATCTTGTCCTTCCTCGGATGGCATCCAGGGGGCCAAGGGGGCTTCGGCGCTCACACTCGGAGAATCCAGGCGAGGCATACTGTTCGAGGTCCACTGAGATGTGAGACAGTAGCAAGTACAAGACGGCAAACAACCTGCTGAATTGGGTTGGGTCTTCATCTTGCCGAAATCCAACGAGGAGAAAGTTATACTAGTTATGGACTTCGACAGCTACTTTGTAAGACTACACCAAGAGCTTAGGAGTTTCGTTGGATCCAACTTGTGGGTGTGAGTCATTGTGTTCTAACATGTTTAGGATTTTGGGAAGTTGCAAACCAGATCTTCCTTCCTTTGAGGGGAGACGTACATTGTCATAGTTCTGCAAGCCCGACCAGCTCGAGCCAGTCCCTAAGGAAGAGTCAAAAGGTACCGTGCGCCCAAACCTGCAGCAGTGCGCCACATGAAGGACTATGGGACGTGCTCAGCCGGTAATTGGCTTGAACAGATGGAGATTTTGCTAGTGCTGAGCTTGAATGGGAGCTACTAGGTTGGGCCCCGGATCTTCTTCACTAACATCTAACCCCATTGAACCGGCACTTCCAGCAGCAAGATCGCAGCCCGCACGACCGTCCTTGAAAAGTACTCGCTTACTGCTGCAGTGATGCAACCACAACCAGCTGCATGCAGGGGTAGAGTTCCCTCGCATGCAAAGTGAAACGAAACCCGAACAGCTTCAACTGTTCCAGGCAGCTTGTGACAGTTGTTGTCGCTTGAGCTGGACACTCCCAGCTAGGATATGTCTTCCAGCTAATCAAAAAGTTCTTCCAAAACAGTATTTCATGAGAGCATCTCTTCTGTAATATTGCAGTTCTTGCTGTGGGAGGCGGGGATCTGAATCAAAGGCCTGCATCAACCGATCAAAATATACTAGACAACTGCGCTGACCATGAAGGCGTGTACGCTCAACCACGGAAACCCTGCTCACCCTCTCAACGCTGCCATGTCACGTAGCGAAAGCGGCTTTGGCCCAATTGTCCCAGGAATAAAGATTAAGGGCGACCACCTAGCAAGGGAAACTTGAAGTTGCTCGAGTCATGGGGAGACTCGTAGAGTTGGACGTAACTTCTTTGAACTTAAAGTAATCCTTTCTATAAGTTTCTGCAGTCTGCAATAGCTGGCTTTGGCGATTCTCAAGTACTGCCCCTCAAATCACTCAAATTGAACGAACTTGTGGGACACTGTGGGTTTTTGACGACGAGCAGAGCCCTGAGCAACGACAGAAGTCGATGACTGGGATGCTCAGACTCTGGGTCTGGGTGTTCACTTTCTTGCAGGTCTGGGTTTTTATTTTGGGGGCATAAAAGGTGTTCTGAACCTTTTATTGTTTTAAGGCCTTGAAACCCCATAAGTGTGTTGAATCTGCTGCCCCAAATAAATCAAACGTCAAAACACTTCTGACAAAACAAAGGTAAACTACCCTGTGCTACGTCCCCGAGTCTGTCTCCCAAGCCTCGCAAGCCCCGGGCTTTCACTTCAAAAGAATCTCTGGAAAGCTGTAAAGCAATATTTATGACCGTCTCTCACATTCTCGCAGTTCTCTCGACTCACACGACAGTGTGGGGCAGAATTCAAGTGCAAGTCCCCTTCGGATTGACTGAGAAACCCATGGACCAGCCTGCCAAACGATGATGATCAGGAAGCCAAAAAGTCCTCATGTCAGCGATGCTCGTGGTCCCTTGTGGGTCGGGGCTCGAGAGGTGTCGAGTAAGAAACACGCGCACCGAAATGCCGAGGCTTATCATGGAGTTTCATGGTTTTTTTGCAGCATGTTTGCTAGATTCCGATCTTTTTCTTCGTGAGCCCGCTCGGACACCTGGAGCTTCTGAGATGTGCTGGGCTGAAGGGCTCTAGGGTTAAGGGCTGTAGGATTTAAGGGTGGGGTCTTGGAGTCATGAGCTGAGGTGTGGGCTCACTCACGTCTGCTTATGTATAAATAAACACCCAAATCTCCATGACCCTTGGAGCCTGCAGGCGATGTGCAGAGCAGCAATTACTCCAGGCAGCCCCACCATTGAAGACTTTCAGCTGAGCTGCTCTGGTGGCTCTTCTCCCACTCCTGACCAAAGGCTCTGGCACTTCTCATGGATATGCGAGCCGAGCTCGTCCCGGCCCCCCGCCCTGCCAGAACACTCTTGTGGTAGACACGTGACCCCACTGAGGCAAGACACATGCTCGCATCGTTTACTTGGTGCTTCGGCGTTCGACATCTGAGTAACAACAGAAGAAAGAAGCTTGATCCTGCCGCCAGCTGCACCCAGCGGCAAAAGCAAGCGACAGCTCCGGCAAAGGTGGCAAAGGTACCCAAACCAAATGCAAATGAAAGAAAAAGCAGGTGTTGCTTTCCAAGAAAGGAGCCATGGACCAAACAAACAGAAAAGCTGCCTTGTGGTAAGCCTCACAGTAACCGTTAGTCCGAGTTGGCAGACTTTGCACAGCTGAGGCAAGGCACCGTCTTCTCCCGCAGCATCGCGACTTTGTCGCTCTGCTTCGGAGACGCACGAACTGCGAGTGGCAGCCGATGTCTGCACCTGGCTAGGGTCTTGACTCGTTGAGGAACTGAAGGTAAGATGGAGTAGGAGGGATGCGGTTGATGGCATAAATCCTGCATTACCTTCAGGACCCTAAACTATAGGAATTATGGCACATATTCCTCATTATGGGTAATGTAGGATTTATATCATCAACCGTAGTAACAAGCTAAGAAGCTTTCCGGATCATGGGAAGAAAAACCAACTTCTTCAACAAGATCTGCTGGCCCTGAACGCCGTCCCTGCTCTGGCAACGGCTGGTCTCTGCTTACAAAGGTCCTCCCGGGTGCTCTTCACAAAACCCAAATGCCACGGAATGACCGGTGAACTCCGGTCAAGCCAAAAGGCCCGTGCATCCCAAGTCCCTGAAACAGCCAGGGTTGAGGAACTTGATCGGACCGGGCGAAAGCAAGCCGGGACCATCTAAGCCCAGAAACCTACACAACCACATGACATGGACTATTGCAGGAGATTGTAAGCCTCGGTGGGCAGTCGCAGGACATCGAGAAGCTCCTCCATGCGAACTGACTGCGCGGAGAACTGGAAGTGGAACAGCATGCAGATTCCGGAGGCCTCAGGCTCATCAGACGGACCTCATAACAGCGCAACTGCTGAACCGTAACGACGACAAAACGACAGCCACAGAAGAAGACACAGCTAACACCATCACCGGCAACGACAACACGACAGCTTCGGCAATACCAACAGCGACAGCAACAACAGAGCAACATGTACGAGACCGATTTGCAACAATAAGAGGACGAAGAAGTGCATGCAAGAACTAAGCAGCGCTCACACAAATCAAGAACAATCCATGGCAGTGCAGACACAGCAGCAAGCTGGCATGACAACATAGACCACCGGACGGATACACAGCAGTCGTTGCCATGGCTCTAGTTTCTCTAGTGATGGGTGCTAATGGTAGTGGCGGCGACAGATGGCAAGGGTAAAGAAGTAATTAGTACTTGTAGTAGAGTCACTAGAGCTCCTTCCCGTTTGCAAGGGGGCCGACCAAACAGCCTGACCTGCTATGCCGAGCTTCTTCAAGACACACGTCAACGAAGCACAATCCGGTTGTGGGCTGTCAAAAAGGCGCTTTGATGAATGGCCCAGCTGCAATGGTCTAGTTCCTTCCCCACAACAAACAGGAATGACCAAGCAATAATGCAGCCGCCTTCTCGATGTACCGAAGAACTGGAAAACGCCAGACAAATCACATAGATCTGGGTTTCCAAGATCACTGAGACGATCAGAGCAAAAAGCTGGTCACAACCAGGTGTTCTCCTCACTCCGACAAGCCGACGTCTTTCCATTTCCTATCCGTCCTCCCCGAAACCCTAAACCCTAAACTTAGGCCCTAAACCCAAAACCCTTCCCGGGGCACCTGAGGAACGATGGCTGTGCCCAGGCGGGCACGGCAGCGCTGGTGGCAGAGCGCCTCGGTTAACTGCTCAGGCTGCTGTTTGTTTCGAGAACTAAAAGGGTAGTTTAAATAAGCTTGGGTTTTTTGGTAGGGTACAGTCTTATATACGATTCTATAGGAGAATGTATAATTGGACTAGGGCTCGGGAGTCTACTATACTATAGCCATAAACATCAACCCTAGAAAATACTCGTGGTAATTGTTGAGGCTTCTATACTGACTCGCTGGAGTGCCGAAGCTGCGCCATCGATAGCGAGGCAGGAACGGTAGAGCTCGTGATTTTCGAATCCCGAAACTCTTCTCTACCAATCCTTATTACATGAATCCCTCATGTGCCTTATTCTAACTTCAAGGGAGCTGAAAATCGATGACCACCCAGCTATGACTGAGCTCACCACAGGCCTCCCCGGAGTGGAGCCTTTGCTTGCCAGGGCCCTAGAAAAAAGCATGGACTCATAAGGCTTTCAGCATTTCAGCTTGGTACCCTTCTCGATTGGTGCATAAGGTTTTACAGGTCAGCGTTTGGAGGGTTCAAGTAAATTGGGCGCCTGACGGAAAGTCAGGTTCGGAATGTCAGAAGCAAAGCTGCAGCCCCGAGCTTCAACACTAAGTGAGCTTTCGGATGAGGGCTTTAATGCTGCAGTGAGTAGACGGAAAAACGGGGGGTGACAAACTGGAGTGCTCCAGGCCTTGCCCTCAAGATTCGATTGAGCGCGGTGCGCTCGATGATCTTGTGTCATTGGAGGTGGCAAGGAATAGCAATCGAGACCAGACAGGCCGTGTTCCCAGTTGCACGAACTGCACAGTATTACCTTGCATAAGGGTTGGCCGAGGAACCACCCCGGCATTGGCAGGGAATCGCCGCATTGCGCTTTGTGCGGCATGCGCTCCAGGTATCTGTACACAAGACCCCTCTATTTCTGGCAGTAACAAGAACCCGCCTCATGGTTCCCCCCATGCTGGGCATCAGACTCGCAGCAACAACAACAAGTCAATAAGTTTGAAGCCGGATTCATTGTCGCTCGATTCGGCTACATGTCTCATTCGAGTAACTCAGGACGATTGCATTGAGGGATGTCGTGGCACCGAGCCAGGCTTAAGCAGAGCGGCAAGTGAGCGATGGCGTAGCGACGTCATATGTAGGGGTTCGTTCGTTGTACATGTAAGTGCTCGCACTTTAGGGCGCGGCTAATCGGACCCGACGGGATGTACTTAGCCTGCATCACAGCATATCAAAACCTTACTGTCCGCAATGTTTGTGGCAACTCGGGAAATGCAGCTGGCGTCTCGCTACATGATACTCGACGACAAAGCGGGAATGTTCAGTTGCTGCATCACACAACTTGCGCCACCTTCTTGCTATGAAGGCTTCGCGCACATGTCTAGGGCGCCGGGGCCCCAAAACATAATATTTCCGAATTTTACCGGAATCCCTAGACTGGGAACGATTCGTAGAATACATCGTAGCAAGAGCTCAATGCAGTGATACTCTCTGTGTGCCGGCTGTGTACTCGGAATTGAAGTAAGGTGGTGGGCACGATGGCGAGAAGAGCTAAACCAAAAGATTCTGGAAAGCTTGTTCCAAAAGTCTCACATATGTTTGCGAGACACACATCTGCATTGCCGCAAAGTCAACCCTTAAGCGAGCCCAAACAGAACTCCCATGCCAGCCGAAGACCCGAAAGTCTGCAATTGCAAATCTACCTGCTGGTCATTGCATGCGCTGGTTATGACAAGCCCCGGCCACCGGAAGCTATGCCTCACCGTCTCCAGTTCAGCGGGTCCTGGCTTGATGACTCCATGCCGGCGGCTGCATGGCTCGAGCTACTTCCACACTGCACCGTTGCATGCAAGGCTAGGTAGGAGGGGTGTGCTTTGGGGTTGGGTGGGGATCGGCCTCTCCTTCTTGAAAACGTCGAGGGCACATAACTTAGGGCTGCTGTTTAAATCTTGCCAGCTGCGTTTCCAAACATGCTCACCTTACCATTTCCCAAACATCGGCCATATGGCTTCGTTGACGCAAACATGCTCCAGAAGTAAACATCAAAAGAACAACGGTAGAGCAGCAAAAGCATTACCAGAAGCAGGGGAAGTAGAGATAGAAACAGAAGTAGTAGCAGTATTAGTAGCAGCAGCATCAGTAGTACTAGTAGCAGTGGTCGCAGTCGTAGTCGTAGTAGTCGTTGTAGTAGTACGTCGTCGTCGTCGCCGTCGTCGTCGTCGCCGGCGTCGTCGTCGTCGTCGTAGTAGTAGTAGTAGTAGTAGTAGTAGTAGCAGTAGTCGTAGTCGTAGTCGAGCAGAACACAACAGCAGCAGTAGTGGTCGTTGTCGTAGCAGCACCAGCACCAGCAGCAGC